AGATGTACAAGGGGATGAAGACGACGGGCCGCATGGGGTGATGTGGCTGCTTTTGTTTCTGCTGCTTCTGCTGCTGCTTCTGCTGCTGCTTCTGCTGCTGCGGTCTGCTGCTGCTTCTGCTGCTGCCGCTGCTGTGACGCGCTGCTGGGATTGGGCGGATGAGCTGACATGGTGGGCAGCCGACGCGGACCTCTTCCCTGTCTGTTTGTTGTTTTCTGTACCCGAGGGTGACGTGGCTTGGCGGCCGGAAAATCAATCAACCGTGAGAATGAGTGTTGCTGCCACAATCAAACAATGGGCAGAGGATGGGGTGACCGGCGAGAGAATGCGATTGTTGAAAATAGTCGTCGTGGTGTGGTGGTGATGCGACGCGGCGCTGACTGCAACCTAAACGCGTGTTTTCCTTGCGTCAATTGCGGGGGGGAGGAGGATTGCGGGTCTGGCAGGCTGGTGAGCCGGCTGACAGAAGGAGAGGCTGAGTGAGCCCTTTGGAATGAGTGAAGAGGAGAGCGATGAGGAGAAGATGCGTGGCTAGAGAGGGTGCGGAGGTTACATTCGACGTGCATCTACGGCACGGAAAACAAGTGCCAGTCTTTTTGTTGGTTGACTGGTTGTAAGTGTAGCTCAGCGTGCTCTCATCCTCCGTCTCTCTTGTCACCAGGAAACTAAGTCGGTTGACCAAGAGAATAAGCGAGCATGGGTATATCGGGTGGTGGTCGTGGTCATCAGCGCCCCGGTATTTGAACTTGCACTCATCGCTCCTCCGACTAGGGGTCCATCCAGTCCACAGCGGCACGAGTCAGATCTGCGCGGCGCCCCTCGTCTGCCCGGTCTGCCGCGCCGACAAGGGGGGGGGGGGGCCGCACACAAACACGAGGTGCGAAGGGGGCGGCTGGCGGATGGCCGCGCTTCAACGTGTTGCGTGCTGTGCTGTGCCGTGCCGTGTGGTGTTTTGGCCCAGAGTCGCGAACCGCTGTCAGCCATCTGGGCTTTTCGTCCCGCGTCGCACAGCGCACAGGGAGGGCGATCGCCTGCCACCAGAAGAACAATGGGAAAAAGGTGCGTCGGTGATCTGACCGCCGAGATGCTGGCTCGGTGACCCTTGGGCCCTTGGGGAGGGGGTTCCAGGCTGTCTCACCCCTTGTCAGCGCCTACATGGATCGACGGACCTTCATGACCGTCATGCCATCATTGTGGCTTTTTTCGACAAAGAAAGGTGCGTCGGATATTGAATCCTCTTGTGAATAATTATGTTTTAGGTTCTAGGTCGACTGCAGGCGTGCATACAACGTACATGTACATAGATTGGTCTTACGCCCTCCCCCATGCCCCACGCCGTCGCTTGTCCCGGACGAGACAATTCCCGATGCCGGCAGAACCTGTGGCTCGCTCGACGTGGGAACCAATGTGGCTCGGCTCAGGGGCATGGGTTCGGCATGGCGAGTGAGGGCGCCAAATTGACAGCACCGAGCGTGACATCCGGGGTGACATGGAAAATCGGGTAAAAACCAACACGGCAAGGAAAAACAAGAAAAAAACCGACTCCCAATGCTGAACCCTGGCATGAATGACTGAAATATATTGGTGATGATGTGCAGCCCGGCAGCCGTGGTGCCTCGCCTGTGGCTTCGGTTGGCTGGCCCCGTCCTCGTCCGGACCATGCTGCTGCTGCACAGCTGTGTCGACGGCGCCGGGACGAGGGAGTGACAGGACGATGGGGCAGGCTGCTCAGACGTCCAAGGTCGTGTTGAACTTCTCGCCGTCGCAAAACTCGACCCACCCGTCGAGGTTCATCTTCTTGATGACGGTGCTGAAGCCGTCGGTGCCGGCCGCCTCGCCCGTGGGCGTGCACACCCTCTTCGAGGCCGTCGACGACACGCTGGGCGCGTCCTTGGGGTACTCAATGTGGAAGACGGGCTTGTTGTCCTTGATGAAGGGCGCAAACGTCTCGCACTCGGAGAACTGCACGCACTGCTCGTTGACCGAGAAGTGGACGTCCTCGAGAACGTCGGGGATGATGCTGCCGGCGTTCTTCAGGCCCGTCGACATGTTGTACTGCAGGGCCGTCTCGGAGAGGAACTTGACAAAGTCAATGGCGTTCTCCTTGGTCAGGCCGAGGCCGTTGTCAT